GGGATGATACGGTTATGTTAGAAGCATTTTTCATAATAAATTATTCAATCTTTACGCAAAATTCTAAGTTCAAATTCGAAAATCAATTTTTCCAATGTTTCTGATCAAAAAATCGGCTTTGCTTTTAAAAACTATAGTAAAAATATTGAGTCTCTACAGCAATAAGCTAAGAGTTTGGGAATCTTTTTAAGACATTCATCAGTCATTAGAACCCAAACTATGCACATAGACTCAATTCTAAAACGATTAATTAGTAGAAGAACTTTTGTCTCTCTCATATAAAATAGATTTACCTGGACGTAAATTGGCTGTCATATCATTATAACCTTTTTCTGCTTTTCGCATATTTTTCTTTGCATCTTTTGCTTTATTTTGATCGGCAATCTTTTTTGGAATAAGTCCTTCAAGATTTTTAGTTTTTGGATTACAACCTAAAAAAATAAAAATATTTTTAATTATAAACAAAAAAAAAAAAAAAAAAAATTGTGAATTTTTTTTGTATACCTCGTTGACCCAAAAATCGAATTGCAGTACCAGCATTTGATGATGCTCCATAATGAATTGGATTATTACCAAGTGCATCGTATACATCAAATTTAGCACCATAAGCAGATAAAACTTGAATAACCTAAGAAAGAATATGATTTTTTCTTAGAAAATCAACAATTCCAAGAAAAAAAAAAGAAATTCATGTCAAATCACCTCAAAATGACCACCTTTAGCAGCTTCATGAGCAGGTGTTGACTGTTTATTATCTAAAACATTTGGATCAGCTTTTGCACGTAAAAGTTCTCGTACAACTTTTGCATTTCCTGATAAAGAAGCATTATGTAAAGCTGTACGTTTTGTTTTCTATAAATAAAAAAATAAGAACAATAAGAAAAAAAAAATTTTTTTCTTAATAAATTCATTATTTTTTTACTTCATCAACAAGTTGAACGTCTGCTCCAGCTCGAATAAGATCAATACAAAAATCTTCTTGTTCATCAGATTTTGAACAAGCATGTACTAAATTTGGCATACCATTATGTGCACGATTATTAACATCAGCACCCATTTCAATTAAAATTTTTAAACATGCTTTATGACGTTGTGTTGGTTCAGTAAAACAATAATAAATGGCATCTAAAGATAAATATATTTTTTTTTTTTATTTGAAAATTTATTTCTAAATAAAATATTCTAACCTCGTCCTTCGAGATCTTGAATTTTTGAATTAGCTTTAGCATCACGTAATAATTGTAATGCATTTATATGACCATATTCAGCAGCATGCATAACAGCTGTACGACCAGTAAAATCAATAACATCTGGATGAGCACCAAGTTGTAAAAGAAATTGGATCATTTTTTCATTATTTTGTGTTACAGCCGCTCTACAAAAAAAATATTTCAACAAAAAAAAGAAATAAATCATTTTAATTCAATAAATTAAATATTTACATAAGTGCAGTCATTCCATTTTGTGGATCATTATAATTCACAAGATGTTCGACACCTTTTTCACATAATTTTTGTACTTGTTCAATATCTTCTGTTCTTACGGCATAAATTAATTTTTGTACTTGTAATTGTTCAACACGATCACGAGCTATAGGCATTATTATCAATTCACATAATAAATAAATGAAGACAATAGAACAAAAAAATAATAATAAGGCACCAAATCAAAGCTAACAAAATAAATAAGATCTGAAATAATATAAAAAAGAAAAAAAAAAACTTAAAAATGAACAAATTTATATTAATTCAGATTAAAACATTTAATCTCATATTACGATTCTATTCTAGATTATTCTTAATATTTTGCGAAAAATATTCATTGCATTATGTGTCTATGACGGAGTTGACTTTTCAATTGAAAAGTCAATCAGTTTACTTTAAAATATAGAGACGTAAAACTTTTAAGCGATGATCAAACATAAACAATTATAAACTAGTCGAAAATTTTCTATGTAGATTTAACAATGGTGTGTGGGTGTATGTAAACATGTATCGAGATTGAAGAGTTGCTAACAAATATTTGGTTTACTATCAACTCACAAAGGGAATCTTCCAAGTATTCAATTCCTTTTGAATTGAGACTATGTGTATTATATAGATCAAAATGAGTTATGAATACTCCCTAGGTTATTGCTACGAAGGTACCGTACTAGTTTTATGATATCTTTTAAACCGATGCCATTATCTCCCTTATGAATATTAGAAAAACTGATATATATGAATAATCAGATTCGATGTTCTTATTTCAGAATAGAAAAAAAAAACTTGAAACTTCTCTCATTAAATTCTGTCTCTATGCAGAATGTAAAGTCGAAACTCAAAAATAAGTTTTTCTAGTGTTTCTGAGGAGGATCACGGCATTTATTTAAAAGATACCATAGAAATGCAGTTGCTCGGTAACAATAAGCCAAGAGCATGAACTATTTTTAGAATATTCATAATTGATTTGAATCTATATGATGCACATCATCTCGATTCAAAAAATGAGTGAACAATTGAAGGACTTTCCTCGTTAGTTTAGTTTCATCTATATATGAGACAGAGCTGATTTGTTCCTAATAAGAGTCTCGGGTATTCTAGCAAGAAAAAAAAATCTCATTTTTGTGAGTGTCGGTGTACACCCACGTACACATACTGTAATTAAAACTTTTTTACCACTTGAAAATTATTTAGTTTCGATTAGTGCATAACTATCTTACATTTCTACATACTTAAATTTAACTAACTGACTTAAAAAATGTAGGTCAATTAGTTTCTATTCTATGTCACTGTTCAATTGTAAAAATGAATTTCGACATATGTATAATTTTAAATAAAACAACAGAGTACTTGCTTAAGAAATATAGATGATATAGAAATATTTTGTTTTTTCATCTTATTCCTCTTTATAATACTTAATAGAAGTCGAACAATGACAAGTGAATTGTCTTATTTTCAAAAACAAATATTGAAAGTTTTTTTTGGTTTTTACCATATACGTATTTGTTGTCATGGTAATCATCCGTTTTTTTTTGTCTACATTCATAAATGACTAATGCATTGTCGCTAGAATTTAAATCATAAAAAATATATGGAGGAGAAAAATATCGAATCATTATTGTTATTGGAAAAAACTGGAATTTGTTGAATTTTCTAGAAAAATCTCGATTATTCGAATACATATAAATAAAAAGCTTTTTTCTAGATATTTTTTTTCTAACAGCATTAGTCATCATATATATAAACATATCAAATGGCTTCAAAGGTAATGTTCTTAATTTTAAGATTATTTTTTCAACTTTGACTAAATATAATTTAGGTCGAAGAACTTAAATCAAAAGCAAATGCTGCTTTTGCAGCAGGAAAAAATGATGACGCAATTAATTTATATACTCAAGCAATAGAGCTTGATGATAAAAATCATGTTCTTTATAGTAATCGGTCAGCTGCATATGCAAAATCGAATAAATATGACGAAGCATTAAAAGATGCAGAGAAATGTGTTACACTTAAACCGGATTTCGTTAAAGTTAGATTTCAAAACAAAAAAAAAAACATTTTTTTTTTTTTATGATTTTTTCTTTCATCATAGGGTTATTCGCGGAAAGGTGCAGCATTGTCATTTCTTAAACGATATGATGAAGCAATTGATGTTTATGAAGAAGGTCTTAAAGTTGATCCAAATAATCAACAATTACTATCGGATCTTGAAACAGCACGAAAAGATGCAGCTGGATCAGCGGCTGGTGGATTAAATTTTTTTAGTGATCCACAATTTTTAACACAACTTATGACAAATCCAAGAGCACGAGAACTTTTAAAAGATCCTGAAACAGCTATGCTTATGAAAATGATGCAACAAAATCCAAATAATCCATCGTAATTTTATTTTATTGAAATCATATTTTTATTATTAAAATCTTGTTTTCATTTTAGACTTTTAAGTAATCCAAAAATAATGAAATTACTTGGTATTGTACTTGGATTTGAACTTGGAGATGAAAATGATCTCAATTCAAAAATGGAAACTGAAAGTGCAGCAAGTTCAACAAAAAAAGAAACAAATACTTCAACAACAAAACCTACAACGTCTAATACAACAACTACAAATAAAACAAATGAACATAGTAAAACTTCACCAACGGAACAAAATACAGTAAGAAATTTTTATTTATTTTTCTATTATTTGTTTTAGTAAAAGTTTTATTTTTCGTCTATTGAATTTAGGCTGAAACAGAAAAAGAAAAAGGAAATGAAGCATATAAAAAAAAAGATTTTGAAACAGCATTAATTCATTATAATAAAGCAACGGAAATTGATCCAATTAATATGACTTATTATACAAATAGAGCTGGTTAGTTGAAATTTTTTTAACAAACTTATGTTTGATATCAAAATACTTTTCTTTTAGCTGTTTATTTCGAACAACAACGATGGGATGATTGTTTAAAAGAATGTGAAAAGGCTATTGAAGTTGGACGTGAAAATAAAGCCGATTATAAATTAATTGCAAAGTAAGTTAATATCAATTTATCAATATTTAATTGATTATTCACTTGAATAACATTGAATCATAGGATATTAGCTAGGAAGCTGTGGGTCCACGTTTTTGTGGGCTCGAATCCCTTCCTGACTCGGACACGATCGAGTCTATGGCCGGGTTCAACTGGGACCAAACCCGAGGTTTTTCCCATCAATACCTAGAATCGTCCGTAGACATGAACAAGTGAAGGATTAACATTTTTGCTATTCTAAGAAAAAAAAAATTCAACGTATAGTTATATCTTGTTGCTGTATTTTTCATATGGAAAGTAGCAGGTCTACCAAAACGTATAACAGGACCGAAGAAGAAAAATAAAAGGTTGGATCCGGCTGGGTCTGCGTCTGAAAGCACTTGCAGCTCTCTGATCTCAGCATGATGCTCATTCGTTTTATAATTATGTAATGATTGTATGTTTGACATTATAGTCACTGGTCTATGATAGAAAAGATAGTACGAAGATTGATGGTCATTTCCGGAATTGACTCACTGAACTGCAGGAGTGTTCCAGTTGTGGCCGGACTGTCCCCAGTATTCACTAATTGGTACTTCAGCGAACACTAATGCACGTAAAAATCAGTAGTGAATTCAAAAGAACCACCGGAAGGATAAGTGAAGAAAAATAATTCCACCACAGTAGCGACTACCGTATTGACATCTGTCCTCTTCTAAGAATGGAAAATAAAACTCAATGATAATCTTATGATGAAATTCATAAATTCAATATCCAACTGTCAGACTAGCCTCATTAACAAGATACTTCAAACGTTGTAGTTAATATGAATGTCTTAAATACAGTCAATAGTCACAGTCGTGGGCAAGCGTCTTTTTATTCATCGAATCTCAGCCACCATAAGGACTGGTGGCCTGAAAATTTGTGTGCACATACGTCAGCAGACATGTAAGTTATCGAAATCATCCAAATTTCGCTTGCTTCAGTGGATATCGAGTTATTATGAATGGAGATTATTTTTGCTGTGAACTTCATCATCCTAGAGGACTACCTACTAAATTTTATCTTGTTTCTTATCAAATACATGATTAATTCTGAATATTTTCATATGAAACTCAAGCCCAATCTATGATCTTTTTTCATCCAGAAAAGACCAAAACTCCTTAAAAGTTTGACAAGTCTTGACGAACTCTAAAACATAGCACCACATAATGATAGGCCACTCGACCCACAAATTCATCTTCTAGAGTAATATTGATCTACATTCATAGTGATTGAAATCTTACGTGAAAAAAGACTATTGTCCAGTGATATGCATTTCGATAGACAAAACTATTGCCATTCAAATTTTGACTATCTCTGTATGAATATTCCACTTTCCGTCTTGTTCACGACATAATATGTGAATAACACTAAGGTGTAAAATTCTTTTCTTTTGGTATGATTAGCTTTCGATGCATCGAAAATGTTCGTTTTAAAACAATTAGAATAAATCTATATTCGAAATGATTGTTTATATATGTAAATCTCTTTTTTTTAAAGAGCTTATGCTCGTATGGGTAATGTTAAGACTCAAGAAAAAAATTATGAAGCTGCTAGAAAATATTATAATCATTCACTATCGGAACATCGAAATCCAGAAATATTAAAGAAAAAACAAGAAATTGAAAAATTACTTAAAGAACAAGAACTATTAGCTTTTGTTAATCCTGAAGTAGCTGAAGAAGAAAAAAATAAAGGTAATGAATATTTTCAAAAAGCTGATTATCCAACTGCACTTAAACATTATACGTAAGTAAAATTGATTTTACTTTTCTTTTTTTTTTTTATTAAAATTTATTTTCTAAATGATTTATTTTATAGTGAGGCTATTAAACGAAATCCAAATGATCCTAAACTTTATTCAAATCGAGCAGCTTGTTATACAAAATTAATAGAATTTAAATTAGCATTAAAAGATAGTGAAGAAGGCATTAAACTCGATCCAAACTTTCGTAAGTTAAAAACAAAATCAAATCTAAAAAACTAAATAATTTTTTTCTTTTTTCTTTTTGTTTTAAATTTATAGTTAAATGTTATCTTCGTAAGGGTCATGCTTTAATGGCTATGAAAGATTTAGGTCAGGCAATGGCTACATTCGGTAAAGCTCTTGAAATTGATCCTAATTGTCAAGTAAATAGTTTATGTGATAAAAATTTTCTTTAAATAAATACTTTATTTTTTTTGTTTTAGGAAGCTATTGACGGTTATCGACAATGTTCATTGAGATCAACTGATGATCCTGAAGAAGTTCGTAAACGAGCAGCTAATGATCCTGAAATTCAACAAATTCTTAGTGATCCTGGTATGCGTTTAATTCTTGAACAAATGCAAAATGAACCACAAGCATTACGAGATCATTTACGAAATCCTGCAATTGCACAAAAAATTCAAAAATTAATTGACGCTGGTATTATTGGTATTCGTCAAGGTTAATTTAATTCGTTCAAATAACTTTTCGTCTTGCCTTTGGTGTACATGCTTGTAGCCAAGATATGATGATGATGAAGTTCCTTTTCTTTTTGTGTTACATTTTTTCTTATTTCGTGCTTTTTTTTGTTCTTTAATGTTCCTGTTACACCTGTGACTGCTGCGTTTTAGCACAAAACGAAAACTTATGATGTTAGAAAAAAAAGAATTCAGCGTCAATCGTCTAAAACAAATATACGTTATTTTTCAAGTTCGTTAAACATTTCAAAACTATGTTCATTTTATGGCTGGCTAAAATACTGATTTTCATCATGTTTCTATTAATGCAAACACACAAGGATCTGCTACTAACATGAAATTTTCAGACTTTGTAGAGCTCAAACTAGCGATACATCGAAGACTAAAGGTGGTTAGGTTTCGTAATAATTACATCAAACATGCTCGTTGATGTCAGCATCTTTTCTTGAGTTCAATTTACTCAAGATGGTTACCGTACTAAGCTCTACAAAGTTCGAAATTTGTATGTTTCTAGAGGGTGCGATTATGGAGGTTCGTAGGAACGTATAAAAAATATTAATTTGGATAGTTTCACAGGTTTCTATAACGATCGTGAAGATTTTTTTATATATAATTCTTCAGCGGACTCGAGTTAAACAAAAATAAAATCTAAATTGATGAAAATTTCCATGATTGTAATGCTTAAGATAGCGGTCATCTTGGAATGATTCAATTTTAGAAAGTATGTTGACATGAAGAAACACGATTGAAATAATAATTAGAAAAATTGACTGTCCTCGTTCCTACATACTAGCATATTTTCTTGAACACAATTATGCAAAATGGATGTCCATTCAAACTCTGAGAGTTTTGTGTTGATAGGAAGTACTTCATATGATCATGATAAAAATCCGTTAGAAACATTTCAGGACAAGTTTTACAATTGAAGATGTTTGTGGTGCTGTTTCGAGTTTCGGTTTATTAGTAAAAAAAATCGCATCCTTGTAGTCTATTTTTTTTCGAACGTTTTCGTTGATTTTTCGTTTCTAAAAACTTCATGACAATATTCACCTTAATAAATAAATGTGAGAATTACACGGTGAAATGTCAGTCCCACAATATGTACCAGTCAGAGATGTGCATCACACCTTGAAAAAAAGCAGCGACGACTCTCCTAAAATAATGGTGGAGGCCGTCATCTTAAGAAAGTTTTTTTAACGAGCAGCACGGCGGTGTCTAACGCTAATTTGAAGACAATTAATAGAATATGAAATTAAGCAGAATGTAATTGAACATACATATATATTTATAGGATGCTCCCTTCAGTCTTAATCGATTTTGTAATTAAATTTTCAGAATTAAAGAAAATTTTAATGTTATGTTCGTCATAGTAAAATTCACCAAGTTTTCAGTAAGGCCAATTTGTAACCAGGATACTTTTTAATCAATATTATCTACGGTTTACTTTATAAATTTAACACATGAGTATCAAACTTAGGTAATCTAACGAATGAATCTGTTATAGATTAAAGCCCTTCTCTCCCCATTTTCAGCTTTTAATAGCTACTCGACGAACATATCAACAGAGAGACGAGATGGATATTGCACATCTCTTATGCCAGTAAATCTCAACAGTAGACACAAACAAACAAAAAATGAATTTATACTTAAATATGTACCATAAGTAAGATATGCTTAAACCATTCAAACAAGCATGAACACTTGCATTATAATTGAGACCAATTTTACCGTTGGTATAAATCAATGTTTATCATGTGCTACTCGCAAATGTTGTTACCATCGTAGGATAGTTAGCAAATGTGTGTTCTTGATCGATGATTGATCGAAAAATGCTTTGGTAATACCGAATGAGATTTGATTTCAATTAATATGATATGTAGAATCCATATCCTTGACGTAAAACATCATTCATTGTTATATTTGTTTTAATATAATTTATTGGTTCTAAACGTTGTTGATCGAAATTCAATCTGACGAGGATTTATAGAGTTAATCTTTTTACAGATATTAATCTTGATTGTAATGAAGACAATGTTCCTAGCACAATCAATCAATGGTTCACTAATCCAACTATTTATCTGAATAAATTATGTATTGTACATCAGCATTGAGTTATTTCATATTCAAAACAAGAAATTGTGTATATATTTCTACAGTTATGTGTATCTACGAAATTTGATATAAGTAATTTCACGAATGCACACATTGAGTACGGAATGGTTTGATTAAGTGTATGACTCGTATAATTTTTTAAGATGACTACTGAGATGATTCAAACGAATATTCATCAACTTGATACCAACAAAGCATATTTCATGTGATTATTTCCATGATTTCCACGCATAAAAATTTCTATTAATATGTTGTTGAGTTTATAAAATAAATTTCATAATTATCTATAAAAATTTGAATACCATATTAAAAAAGCATTCTTGTTTGTGTTCAAATTTATAATCAACAATCTGATTGATTGAAATCATAAACACGCTGTGTGCTGATTCATATAACAGTAGGATTATTCGAAAATGCTTTGCATTAATCCTATACCTCCTGATGGATCATTTTTGACCCATTGGTAAAACGCTGACAGAAAATAAAGGAAGAATGAAACTCAAAAACTTACAGAACATTATTTGTAGGGAATTTTACAAGCTATATATTGGTGAAATAAATTTTTTTTTTCATTGCTCTGTTGCCGAGATATATGACTTATAAAATCGATAATTTTCAAAAATTAAAAAAAGTCAAAATTTTAAAAACAAAGTGTTTTTCACTTACAGATAATAGAGATTTGGAGGACGCGTTGTGTGATCTATATCGACTAAAATATCTACTATTGAACTAAACGCGTTTCAAAACTTTCCATATAGGTTGACACATAAGGAATAGTAAGACACAAAATGGGTGCTGCAACAACTATTGAGCAGGAAGGGCGGGATGATGCATACTATGAATATATAATTTTTAAATCTTATTATAGCAATAGTCGAAAAAAATATTTATCATTGATTTAATCTCTTCATTGATGACATAATTACTTAAAGAAAAATATGTATTTTTAAAAAAAGCTGTGCCAAAAATACACATCGTGTTTAAAAGTAGGTTTTTATATACGTAGTGTTATCTAGTTAACACTATCATAAAGAAGAAAAGAAGTAGGACTTTTAAAGTTGTTCCATTCCCTCCTCTGCCTCAATGGTTACTATAGTTACCAAATTATTCTGCCCAAATGATAATGCACCTGATCGATCTGCCTAAACCAACGGCTTATTTGGGAGACCAATACTCTATTTCTGTGGTAGTTTAATCAGCGGCTCTTCTGGAACCGTTTCAGGGGATAAAGGGTTAAAATATTTCTTTCTATAGCCTTTATTAGTAAATAAACTTGCAATATTGAACAGTCATATTTCTCTATCCTTTTTGACAATATTCATTGATAACAGGAAATATGAAAATAAATTCTCAAGATTTCGATATCGAACTTTTGATTCATATCATATTAGAGTTTATCAAATTAATATTTATTTACCAAACAATTGCAATACCAAATAATCTCTCATAGTATAGTTTTTTTTGCATACTCTCATGTTTTATTTGAATTTAAACATCTACATGAATAGTAGAAATCATCATAGAGAGATGCTTATACACATAAAGATAATAATTGCACTACAAAGAAGAACAAGAAGACAAAGAAGGTGAAAACAAATCAAGTTTGTTTACAGCCAAATAAACACTAACACAAAACTAACAATATGGCAGCAAAGAAAAAACAAAGAACACCATAAAGAATAAGTAAATAGGTTACAAAAACAATGTTAATGAAAATCTTCTTTTTTTTTCACATCAAAAATCTACTATAAAGTGGAGAGGAAAAGAAAAGCACACATACACACACACACGACAATGATGAGAACTAAAAACTTTTTTTCTCTTGTAAGAATACGATAGTAATCGTTTTCTTTATTTTCTAATCTATGTTTTCAAAACTTCTTTTTTTTCATTGTTTGACGAAACTTAAGCAGTGCTGCTTGTATTTCCACCTGATACAGAAGCTGTCTTCTTTGTTGTTGTTGCAGCCGATGAACTTGTTTTACCACCAGCAGCACCAGTTGATGCACTCTTTGTTGTAAGTGCTGATGGTGCTCGAGGTACTGAAGCTGTATTTGAACGAGATGCATCTGACTAAAAAACATATCGAATGATAAAAATATCATATTGATTTTTAATTTTTTTATATTTAACATTACCTTAGGTGCCGATTGACTATGATCGTCACTACCTGATTTAGTTTTGAATAAAAATGAATTAATATGTGGTAAAACACCGCCTAAATATATGAATAAAATTTAAATTTCTATGTTATTTTACATATATGTATCTTTTTTTTCTTAAATCTAACCTTGTGGAATTGTTACACCATGAAGAAGCTAAAAGCGTAAATAAATATATATATGTTTTAAATTTTCTCTGTAAACAAAAACCTTCTTGAGTTCTTCATCGATGCTAACAGCCAAAAATACATGGCGTGCATTGATACGTTGTTTTTTATGATCTTTAGCTGCATTACCTGATAATTCGAGAACTTCAGCTGTTAAATATTCAATCTAAATTCAACAATGAATATCAATAAAAATTCATAATAATTAAATAAAATAATAATACATACCACAGCAGCTGTATAAACTGCAGCAGCCATAGTTACACGACTCTTTGGAGTACTCTTTTTTATATAACGATGAAAACGTGGTACCGAAAAAAGAACACCTTTAAATATGTACAAAAATATCATATTAAAACGATTACGTAAATAAATAGAAAATCAACCTGCACGAGCCGATTTCGATTTTCGATCGCCACCTTTACGGCCACCTCTTGCTGCTGGTGCTGGGGGAGCCATATGTCGTCTTTTCTTAATTTATTTTTTATCAATTATCTATAATTCGAATACAAAACTTTGAGTTATATATGTTTTTAATTTCTCAATGTATTCTATGCGCATACATCAAGTAGACATAACCATAAGACACGAGCCTTTAAAATGAATGTGTTCATTTACATATGCTTCCTTGCTTTATGTATCCAACGTAGACACATATTTATTCAGTTCAGAGTCAGAACACAAGAGAGCACGAAAGAGAAAAAAAACCCGAAGAAACAAAATAATGAGCGCAATTTTGAATTGAATGTTCAAGGAAAGAAAAGAAATGAGTAAATTCAATGTTCGACCTTGCTAACTATTTTAATAAATTGAACTTATGCCTCCATCATGAAATATGGTTTCTATTGACCATATTGGTTTTAGCGCCACTAGCGCTGTTTATTATAACTTTCTAAAGAAATTTCTAATAGTGACTAGTGTCTATTTTGATAGATAAAGATTGAAAAAAATGAAAAACACCTTTTTTTCAAATTTCAATATAGAATTTAGGAGCGAAATTAAATATCTACTTGACTTATTTGACCAATAATCATTAAGAATTGAAGTTGACAAACTTTTCTCTGATTATAATCAATATACATGATATAACATTCTAAAGCTCATACTTAAACTCAAACATGATGGAACTTCTCTGTGTAGAAATTTTCATATAGTAATTTATCTTGATGCATTTGATAGGTTGAACATAACGATTTCGTGATATAATTTTGATTCTTGTTAAGCGCATAGCAAACGTAGTGGCGGAGACATTGCAATACCGTATAGAATGATTGTGGAAAGTTTCACTCAATATTTACTGATAGTACAAATAGTGTTCTATATTTTTTTCCAATATTTCATTCGTGAACTAATATTATAATAACAAAATTTCTATAAGATTTTTTTTATGATAACAGATAATGCAAAAGTTTCTAGACAAAGTGTTTCTTCATTTTCTGGCCTACTTGAAAGTGTGCTAGACAGGTTAAGACTAGAATTTTGTGCTCTTTCCGAATATAGAATCAGAAAGTGCCTATCTGTTTTTGAAAGGTCTAAAAAATTAATTTGAACGAAGAGTTCTTTCAGTCATTTTCAAATTTTCACTTTTGAGATTTGAAATTAAACATTGAAGCTTTTGTTCATATATCAGTTTGTAGAGAAAAATCTGCCCAGCAAAATGAACTATTTGAACTTTCGTCGTGTCTTTCGATAAAGCACCCGTTGTTTTTCTTCTACTCTATCACTTTTTCAAAATTCGATTCTTTGACGAAAGGACATTTTACATAGAGTGTAGCTTCTGAGAAAATGCTTATAGGTCTATTTGCATAAAAGTGGCATTTGAAAAAGAACTTATGCGATTAGCAAAATTCTATTAATAAAAAACTCGCAAGCCCATACTCGGAAAGAACACGAAGTTCTGGTTCTAATATCTAGCATACTGTCAAATGGGTCTAAAATGAACAAGCATTATGCCCAGAAATGTTCTCAACATCTATTATGTGATGATATTACACATATATAACTTTTGATAGAAAACTGTGGTTTTCATCATTAGATACTGATTTGTGTACCATCAATATTTTTAAACAGATATTGCTAGAAAAAATGACTTCAATTGTCGAGCAGACAGATAATTGAAAGTTCACTGTAAACAATTCAAGGGATAGGTTTGTTTTCAAAAAAGATTAAATGAAAACTTTGGAAAAAGACTAATATACGATTCGATGTGTCTTCATTTCTTCTTTCTCGAAGTGAAAGCTGCAACTCTCTATCACACTTCTCTCAGAAGCTATTCAAAATGTATCCATCGTCTTTCTGTCTTTGAAAGTGACTTTAGTATTATCGTCATATATCATAATGAACAATTTTCATCGAAATTTTCTTATTATGATATTAGTTGAAAAAGATTTGAAGTGTTCGAATAATATACAACACTTTTTATTAACAGCACATATCGAGAGAAAATATTCTCGACTATTCTATGCGATATTGTTAGATTGAATGCTGTTTGGTACGATCTGTTGACAATTATATGTTTAAGATTTCAATGGATTTTGATTTTATACGAAGTGCTAATCAATTAACTAAAATGTAATTGCTTTTGGATTAATGAATTATAACAGAAGACAAAAAACATGGGAAAAAGAGACAACACAAATTTCAAAGATATAAAAAGACTTCTAACTATCAATGAAATATTTAAGAGAGTACAGCTGTTTTTCCTTATTGTTAATTGTTAGTATTAGTGAAGCAAATTACTTTCTATTTCATTACCTCTAGCTTCTTTTTACTCTTTCTCAAATGCATAATTCTACTTTTACTGTCTTTGACACTAAAAACGTTTTCTTCTCCTATTCAATATTGATGGGATTTTCTCTTTGTCGACTATTTTTTTCATCTCAATTATCATCCTGTATATAACTGATCGTTTAATGATGCATATAAGCGAGAAGTAAAAAAAAGAATACAAAAAAAATTTCATCAAATGGTTATTTTTACTATAGCATTAAAAAGAAAAGAACAAGTGTTTCGACAGCTATATTTCGTCTTTCCCTATCATCACATTATTCTCACAATGATTGAAAATTGACACTGACCTTTGAATTGAAAAAAAAATGCCATCTAGAAAAGTTTTTATGATATTTTATGTGAAGACAGTACTATAAAAAACACAATTCATCTTTCTTTTTTTCTGTTTAAATAATATAAATGCAACAAAAAGATGAGGTGTAGGTATGAAGTGTGCATGCATACGGATAGAATAAACATGAAATATAGAAACTCATTCGTCAATTAATTGAAAATACATTGATTACTTGAATATCAACTTCGATATTCAATGATATTAGACAAAAATAAATAACTATTGTTGCAAATTTGCTGTTAACAATAGAGTTTATCACATTCGAGGATGTGCCTACTGATTTTGTACAGATATAAAGGACTACAACGGACTAGTATTTCATATAAACATACAGTGTACGCGATCAAAAAAAGCATGCGAAAAGTGTCTACAGATCGCATATATTAGCACAAATACTTCAATCAATAATGAGCGTTCAAATGAAGCATTTACTCCTGTTTCCCTCATGGTGTGTCCTATTTAGAAAGATAACTTGCAATTGGCTATCAAAGCATACCAAAACTGAATAGAAGTCAACAATCGAAATATAATCTTTCTTTTTAGCAGATCACAATGTATTTTTCTTCCGTGAAAAAATAGAGGCAAGATTACGTTTAAGTCATTTGATGACACACTGCATACTTTGGAAAATAGAGATGAAACGGTTGGTTCTTATGTTGCACTCACTCAGACAATAATAGGTAATTTTAATGAAGGAAAAAAATACTTATATAAACAATGAAATTATATATCTATAGAGACTTTTCTTTGTCACCATATTCATGCTTTACTATCGAATTATTGTCTTTGTTGATATTGAATAGAATAAACTATGATTAATTCTTTCGATAGATTGTTTCTTTTTTGTTTTCTAATTTGTTCACTAAAACAACTTTATATGGTTAAAACATGCTCGATTGTTCTATATAAAGTCGACAACATTGTTAACACAAACTTTACAAAGTATCTTACAAAACAATGAAGTTCGAATAAGACAAAATTTGCAGTTAAGTCTTATTAAAATTTCATAATTTTCAACAATCAAAGTTTGATGATACGAATCAAAAATTTCTCTCATGATCATTAATACATAATTCTGTTAATTTTGTTGACATGGAAAATATCTAAAATTGTTCAAAGAAACTAAAATAAATATATAGCATTATAGACTGCAATAATGAGCATGTTTTGAATTTTCATTTACAGCATTATATTATCATATGACAGTGTCTTGCTTGTTTTTAATTAATATGCTCTCGGAAAAAAGATGACATTTTTAATTAAAACAAAATTGTTATAGATACACTTTTGATCAGCAATCAACTTTGATATCAAATCAATTGAATTGTTGACGGAAGCATTTTCGAAACTTCTATAGAATATTTATTTATCAACATATTCATCATCATTAAGTTATAACATTCTATTGATTATAAAATTAAAAAATAACGATGAAATAAATTTCTCACGCACAACTATGTAATAAACTTAATTGTTAAAATCACAATTCTTTCGTTACAACGATGTTTTTCTTCGTTTTTCTAACTTACTTTGATTGGTGACTAGTGATCCGTGGTCTGATGGTTCTAATGAAAAATTGTACTTTGGCATACACACCAATTTCATTGGATAAATTTTGCTCAGAAATTTCCTTCTGTTGTTTGTACATATTGATCTGATGTTTGTTTTGGATTTAAATCGATCTGATCGAAGAAAAATGAAAGATAGCTTTATAGATGGCGCCATGGATTGCTCTGATTTCACGCTTCTCTCAGCAAAGGTTGAGTTAAAAGTCCAAACGAACTCTAGATTAATAAATAAAAAAAAAACAAGAGAATTTTCTGAAGAAATTTTATCCAATGAGAAATGTAGGTAAATATCAAAACATATATTCCTTGGAATCACTAGGTCACGGCTCATCGAGCATTGATATTGGTGACGATTGATTTGATCAAACAAGAAATGTGCAATTGAAAAAAATAAGCGAGACAATCGACGCATGATGAATATGTTTTTGACGATCATACCCTTAAATCGAATTAAGGTAAGGGGAAAAAGTTCGCGACATTTTCTTATCGATGTTAATAGAAAAATTTCTAAGAACTTTTTTTTCATATAATACAGGATGATTCACTTATTTTTAGTAGTTTTCTTCAGTTTATTGTATTTGTACAAAACGTCGGAAATTTTTTATTTATATATGATTAGATAGGGCATTGATTATTCTATCCAATGGTATAGTTTTCATTTGTTTTATCAGATGTCTTGATTAAAAAATTTAACAAATTCTAAAACTAGCTTAAAGTAACTTTTGCAAACGTATACTTCACTCAGGCTAAGTTCGATTGTCGCAAAATTAATCCTAAATGAAAGTGATCCTTCATACTTAAGTTTGTACCAAAATTGATTCAACATTTTTTCAATTCGAGGAGAAAATAAATTTTACTATTGAAATTTTAGACACTTTCGTACTGCTTCATTTCCGGTGATATTCATATAATCTGAAATTTAACTATAATATTTTATAACTAAATCAGGCTAAAATTGCATGAATTAATAGAGAAATTACTGCTTTATCGAACTGTATATTAATTGAAAAGATTGATATATCTAGAGGACTACAATTTACTCGAAAAAGACAAATCATTGAAAATTGATCTAAAAAGATTTGTTAAACATTCACTAAATTTTTGAGTCAAAGTGGAAAATAAAGTGATAAAAAGTATATAGTTCGATAGAGTAATGAATTCTCTATCTAACTATTCAAAAACCAAATATATTCATTTGTCCAATACGATATAATTACTCGAAATACTCGAAGAAAGCATCTCAGAATTCCACAGAAAAAAAAAACTTTTTTTGCCTGCTTCACAAAACTTACTGATTTTTTGACCAACACGTAAATCAAATCAAGTGAAAACTATACCGCTGGATAGAGTAATTAACGCTCTATCTAATAATATATAAATAAAAAATTTCCGACGTTTTGTACAAATACAATAAACTGAAGAAAACTACTAAAAATAAGTGAATCATCCTGTATCTTCACTGTCTATTTACGTAATCCTCCAAATATGCAATAGGAATGTATTTTATATATGCGTTAGCACGAAACATTAGTGATATAAAGTCAAATACCGTATATTAACAATATCTCCTATTGTTAATTGAGAGATACTAAGGTATCTATTACGCTTTTTGGCCAGACGAGTGGGTCCAAATTTTCACTTGATACGCTTGAACATTCCTTTTAGATATTGTGGCACATAATATATACAAATATTCTTGTATTACGACTGATTGTTCACATAGTCACAAATGATCATTAAACATGCTACTGGAATCCATCATATCGAATTTCATACGACACGTCCACAAAATTTGATTGATATATTTATGCAAACCTATGGTTTTGTTCTGTCAGCCACAAGAACCACATGTGACTATTCGCAGTGGCTTTTGGAATCAAGTCAATGTAAATTGATTATATCAACGACAAAAGCAGTAGCAGAAAAAACGACGGAAATGAATTGCAACCACAATCATTATGAAATTCTAACGGCATTGCTTGGTAATGAAGCAACACAAAATTTAGTGATCAATCGGGATACTGCATTCAATATTGCTTTAGCTGTTACATCTGTTCAGTCAGTGCTCGATCGAACACCAGATACTCAAGTAAGTCCAATTTATTACTGACGTTTGACTAAAATTATAGATTTATAAAAAGAAGTATTCGAGAAGAAATATATTTTGATCGTGGAAAACTGATGGTGCGTTATAAAAACTTTTAACAGAAATCCTACTCTAGACTAGCAGAATGCAGAACAAGTCTCCTTCCACCTCAAGACGAGATGAAAAGAAAATCTGAGAGATATGAAATAGGATGAGACAAGGTTTTTCATCATTCCATTATCCTCTATTTCCAATAGTGAAGAACCGAACTCAATAGCTTAGCATGATCAAAAGTTATTCGAAAGTAAAGAAAACTACTATGCATATTTTCAAGTAGATATTTTCACATTCTAAACTGAACTATTAGTCCAGGTCAACTAATCAAGAAGTTATAGACTGAACAATGAAGAACAGATTCATATCTTATTTGAGTGATCTTTGGCTAATATTATCGCACAACATTTGAAAAAGTTCGTCTTGAGATCAATTTTCACAACAAAAGATTGAAATTCCGTTCGAATTCCATTCGATTCTCTTCTTATGAAATAGCATCACTTGGTGTATTCATATACACGTGAGTTTTTTCTTTACACATCCAGTGGAATCTCAATTCAAAGAAAATAAAGTTATCATTTGTCTGGCAGTGAATGATTATCGACCATGCCACGTCCAAGTAGAGGGAAAGGATCGAGAAAATGCTTCTACCAAGGCATTGCTATTTTTTTTTCAGGAAATCGTCCAAATATGAATTTTGACTATGAAGTTTTCTGGCGTTTTCTACCACGTAACCTGATTGAATGAGATAGAATATCAAATGGTATAATGGAAGGGAAAACTGTTAAGTTATGAGATATATTATGAGATGAAATAAGACCATGTTTTATCACTCTATAGATATCTGACCACTAGCTGATTCAATAGGACACACATGATCAAGTCCCTTAAGTTTTAAGTAAAGATGCTTATTGTATCTACCACAATGCGTTTCAAGGTCAAGACAACATTGTATCAAATTATCTTTTATAACATATGACAGAGGCTAAGAATGATACAAACTGAGATGGAAAGAAAACAGGCTTTTGAACGCCAAGATTTCAAAGCGACTCAAATCACCAAATATCTTTCATATATAAATATTCAACGTTCAGAAATAGAAAATAGAATGTCAACATACCTGTTAGAGTGAGTAAAACAACTTGATTATTCACTTTTTTTTCTCACTATATCCTTCAATACTCAATTAGAAATTATATTTTAATCAAAAACATAGGTGACTTTCGCTTATTCTATGTAGGTACTTGTATCACGTCGCAAAGCTGTGGATCAGTATGGATCGATCGAATATGCTTGCATCAAATCATGTATCGGCAACGTTGTCCATTCAATAATCGATATATCTCAATATTCGGGTTCTTACTTGCCTGGTTTCCTACCGATAATGACAGATTCTTCTCAAGAACAGAAAATAAATCAGAATTTGATGAGTACCATTGATCACGTTGCATTTGCTATGCCACGTAATTCAGCTAAAGTTGCCATAGAATGGTATGAAAATGTACTGGGCTTGAAACGTTTTGTCATTAATCAGTAAGTTAAGATGAAAGAAAAAGATTGATTCTTTTATCTATACTCATGTTTCTTGTTTAGAGAAGACGATCCATTTCAAGGATTCACTGTGCGTGTTGGTTCTATGGGTATGCGCATGTTTTCAAGCGTCTATTGGAAATGTTCTGAGACCGGCTGTGGTGATGCAGTATCAAAGCTAAAATTTGTTTTTGCCGAGTCACTGATTGATCCAGATTCAGGTAACTAACAAATATTCATGTTGATCTAAAGAAATTTTGAAACATCACTTTCTTCTATAAGACTCATCAGATCAAATTACAACGTTTATTGCAAGACATAATGGTCAACCAGGCCTACAGCATATTGCATTCACATGTATCAATAGTATTAAAGAAGTTGTTCGTTTGGCAAAAGCTAATGGTGCTCAGTTTTTGAGTCCATGTTCTAGCTATTATTCTCAAGTATGTCGACTATGCTTAGAACTATTATCACTGATACACATTAATACATTTTTCTTCTGAAGAAGAACAATGGTCGGGCTATTGAAGCAGCAGGTGAAAATGTAGCTGAGCTATGTGAGTTGGGTATTTTGCTTGATGATGAAGCTGACAATTGGAAAACAGAGAACACAATGTCGAAATTATTGACCAGGTATATTTATGAATTGTGATTAAACGATACACTGTTTCATGTGGTTGCTGTTATTGTTTAGAGTTCTTTTACAAATATTCACTCGATCGATCTTCGACAATGATACATTCTTTTTGGAGCTCATTGAACGACGTGGTGCATGTGGTTTTGGTGCTGGTAATGTGCGAACTTGATGGCAAATCGTTCAAAGACGAATGAATCATAGTGGTTAATTTCGACCTATAAAGATCCATTGTGAATAATTTTTTTCACGCTTATTTCAAGTAGCATCTGACGAGCTTTATTAGACTTCCTGATGGCTAAAAGTAAAAAAAAAACGAATCTCTCGCTCTCAGCTTCGTATTTTTATTGTGACAATTGGAAAAATATAAATATGTTATGTGCTGTGAACAACTTGTTTTTATTTGATGAAAAACTATGACTAGAAACTGTTTTGTCAGGTATCAAAGGAAATGAAACTATATCAAGGAAAATGTCGGCATCATATTCAAGCATTTTCATTTTTTTTCTTTTTTGTAGTAACCTACTGTCATTTGCTGGCACATACCCTTAAATACCCACATATTTTGCAATTGAACTAACTTTCGACAGAAATTCTTCTTTTTTCGTTGTAAAAACCACTTCATCGAAAGCATCTTTTCACAAAAATTTGACTTGTTAGGAGACGGGTAGCCAAAGGTCCCTACTATCATGCTCCTTTCTATCCTAGTTCGTATCCGATACGACATCAAGGGGGAAACAGCAGAATCCATGAATCCATTAATCCATTTGAATCCACTTGAATCCACTTGAATCCACACTGATATGAAATTCTTAGAATTATAAAAATATGATAGTTTTCATTTTCTCAATTCTCTATTGAAAGTAGAGAAAAAAAATTTAACAAAAAGAATATTTGCGAAGACTGCAGGAATCGATCAAGAAATATTTATATTAAAAAGTTTTTCTATTATCAATAATTATATTATTTATTTGTTTAAAAACCAACTGTAAAATGTAAAAAAAAAATAAAAATCAAACGGACATAAAAATATAAAAATTCAATACTTGATAGAACCGATTAACTATAAAAGAAAAAAATAAGTGAATTATTATGTTAAAAACATCAATTTAATATAAAACCTTACTATATAAAAGAACACGAAAAAAGTCATCGAAGTAGTACAAACAAGACAATGTTCGGCATATAAAAATTATCTTCTTCTTGTTCTTTTTGCTGATTCTCTTGTGTTATGTGACGATTCTATTGTTTGAACTTTTCTTTTCACTTGTCTTTTAGTTTTTAATGATGATGGTTGTTCGATAATGTTTTCATCACAAGTTTCATCATCTTCTGTTGATTTGGAGATAGAAGATACTGTGACTGAAGTTGAATTCGATTGTATTGTATCTGATGGTGATATAATAGGTATCTAATTTGGTGATGCAATTAGTTGAAGTACATTATCTGATGTGGTCAATGATTGCTGATTATTTGTTGATGATGGTGATGATACTGGAGGATTATTAATATTTTTTTTTAATGCAGGACATTCATTAGTTAAACCTTGTAAATGACGATAGAAATTTGACAGTTGAAATTTTCCACGTCTAAATACTAATGTTGTTCATTTTTCACAGCAGCACTTTATATTACATTTTGATGTACCACTTGAATCATTTTGTAATGAAATAAAATAATCCTTGCCTTCAACTAAAGAAAATCGTTCATTATTATCTTTTGATTTGTTGTTCTTGCACCAGTTATTTAATGTATCAGTTATATATGATTTATGTTCAGCAACTGATAAATTAGAAGATTTTGATGGCATAGTTTCTGGTGAGCTATCGGATACAACAGATGACGTAGGTTTTCTTATTGTTGATGATGTATCTGTAGTTATAGTTAACGATGATGATAATTGATTGCGTTTCGAAGATTTAACTAATTTTGCATCATCAACACATTTTTTCTTCAACAAACTAATGAGATATTCTATATTTCCTTTAACACCAGGTTGTATAATACATGTACCATCAACTTGCATATAACCATATTTATTTTTAAATGCATCGAGACTTTTGCTCTTCACGTTTATAATAGAATAAACATCATCTGTCATCAACAATGCCTTCACACTATTAATACCTTGCAATTCTAGTAGAGTAGCAGCAGCATGGCCAGCCTCTTCCTTAACAAAATCAATAAAATTATCATCACGTAATGACATTATATTTGATGGCAATACAGATGTATCAATAAGAATATCTGTTTGAAACATGTTTGAATATATTATCAATTATCTATAAGGAAAAATATAATTATCTATAAAGAAAAACTTCTCTCCCAAATGACACATGTTGAAAGGAAGAAAACATAATGGATATCATCTTTGAATCATGAGTCATAATCCAGTAAAAGAATTAGCCAATAGTTTCTGAAAAAATTGTCTCTATATATCGTCATTAACACTTGTTGATTTTTAGCGACATTCCATCTTTACGATAATGGTTTTTTCAGATTATCGGTATATGATTCATCACAGCTGTTTATCAACTAGAATTTTTTTAACTGTCATAACTCAGAGTCTTTGAACATATTCTACACTAACAGTATTCAACTTATGTTTTCTATTTTTTCCAGATAAATGAAAGACTCATTATTTTTCTTCTGATGGATGATACAATGACAGATAATGTGTTTTCTTTAAAAAACGATGGATTTTATGATTTTATTCATACATTAGTTGGACAACAAATAGTGGACATTTTAAAGTTTCAATCAATAACATCTACACAATCTTTAATTCGATATCCAAATGTTTTTGATATATTTAATATGAAATGTTCAGAGCCTGATTTCTTATCGATTAGAAAAAAGTCATGTTTGGAGCTTGAAGATGGTCAATTTATCGTAAAAGTTGGATTAATTAATAATTTAAATTATTTGATGTTTTAAAGCAACAACAAAACAAAATTAGTGAAGATAGTTATATGGATGTAGATTCAAACTGAACATTCGATTTTATGAACAAACGTCCATTGTTAAAAAACTTGGTTCTTTGATATCAGCGAATTGGAAGTGAAGGTGTTACTAATACAGACAAAAATGGTTTTTTAATAGATTTTATTAATACTGTTACTAATAAATTGACAAAATCAAGCAATCATTTTCGATACAGTGACAAAATCAAGGACTTCGCTTTATCGTTATATATTTTAGGTGGAAAATTAACGTATGAATTTATTCGATTAAATATACCCGGCTCTTTACCAAGTTTAACAATGTTGACTACATTAATTTTAAATTCAAATTTAAAAATTAGTGAAGCAGAATTTCGATTCGATCAGCTTCAAAAACATTTTGAGAATCTGAATCTTCAATATGCATTTGGTTCTGAGGATGCCACTGGTGTTATTAAAAAAATAAAATATGATTCAGTAACAAATAAGTTTATTGGATTTCCTACGCCACTTGATCATGGGGTACCAATTAAAGAATATCATCACACTGATTCATTGGATACGTTAAAGTTATGGTTCAATTCAATTGATAAATCATCATTATTAAATGTACATATGATTCAACCAGTACAATCAACAACTCAAAACACAATTCCAAGTCCTTTTTTACTATCAGCATATGGTATTGATAATACGGCTACAGCGAATGATATATTACAAAGATGGTGGTATATATTCAATCAGTGTTTACAAAGAAATATAAGAATTATTGGTTTTGCTACTGGTGAGAAAATAACTAAGTATTTTTAATTCAAATTTTATCAAAGAGTTACTGTTTTTTTTATAGATGCTGATGCTAAATATGTACGTGCTACGCGATTAATGAGTGGATTTTTTGCATCTCTTCCAAATTTTCCAGTTCATCGACATCAGCAAGCTTCTACCGTAAAATTCAAATCACGTTGGCCTTGGGTTTTTTACGCGAACAACAACTATTATTATTTTTTCAAGATGCGACACATCTAGCTACGAAATGGCGTAATCGTTTATTATCGTCTACAGCTGAATTACGTCTTGGTGACCAATCAATATCGACCAATCATTCATATAGCTTTATTGATAATGGAAAATTTACTAAAATTGATCATGGCTTGACGAAATCTGATATTAATCCTAAAGATCGTCAAAATTTTAGTTCCTGTGTGAAATTAACATCTGATGATCTATTTTAAATTTTAAAAGACAATGTTGATACTCAGGGAACCTTGATTTATCTACAGATGTAAAAAATGATTATAATGGCTTATATTGATAAAAAAACAACGATTGCTGCGCGTGAGTATGCTTTTTTCCATGTTGCTTGAGTGAGAGCGTCAAACTCTTCACTTCAGATGTATCATATCTAATAAAACTTTATTTTAGGTCTTCGATCTGCTTGGTGCGTTGTATTTTTCTGTCGAATATGGTTAACATGGATCAAATTGAAAACATTCAATACAACACAATTCTCAGAAAAAAACATAAGCAGATATTTTATTACTAGACCAGCGTATTTGTTCGTGGAAATAAATGCACATAATTTATTATATTTAATTTTACTTGTTCAATAAAAACAACTACCACCACAATCATTACATATTCATACTTTTAGCTCGCAAGCCTGTGAATCAATTTTTCGAAACACGCGCGCATTAAGTGGAGTCTATTCAACTATAGTCAACTTCACTGTACATGATTTTTTACGACGTGCTCAAAGATTGTCACTACTTAATGATATTTAATTCAAGCATTTAAATGATAGATCAGTTAATAATTTAGTATTTCCAGTTCATTACAAACATCGACATGATCATCAATCATTAGCTACACAAAGTCAAAGAGAGGTCGATCTAATAGATATCGAACAAATCATGACCGAGGCTTATCATGAAGCAATTGATACGCTTAATGGCTTAGAAATATTGAATTTACTGAAAGATAAAAATGTTCTTGACTTAAAATCCTTAAGTGAATATGTATTTAAACAGTTAAATTCAAATTCAAAGATGTACGACTACTCATCTCAACTCAGCCAGATGGATGATGGAGAATTTGAAATCGCTGATGATGATGATGATGATGATGATAGTGATGACGATAATAGAACAGCAGCTGATCTTAACATTAATGATGGGTTTTCCTCAAATGATGATTACGATGATGAAGATGAACAAGATGATACTCGAAATTTCATAAATACAACAAAAGAGAATTTTCTGGAATGAAAGTTTTTAATATGGGGCAGCCACATATAGAACATTCTTATTTTAAAGCTACAATCAATGATGATATAAAATATATACATAAACAGACTGCTTGTTGGTTATTAACTGGTGAAAAAAGTAAAATGTCAAACGATCGATTGCTTCGAGTACAACAGATTAATAAAAAAAGTTGATTGTTTTTTTTTTATATAATACTTTTTTCGTTTATTTTCAATAAAATGAACAACGCTTTACTGACTTTCAAGTCTTGAAATAAAGAATGTGCTGTATGAGAATAAAAAAGATAATGTATGCTTGTATCCGAATCAAGACTAATAAAAATTTTATCTAATAGTACACACGATACAAACAAAAAGATAGAAGTATCGAATTTTTATAATGGATTTCAGAAAAATAGGAAATCATTTTACGAGACTTCATGTGACTCCACTTGAATCCGCTTGAATCCATTTGAATCCACTTGAATCCACCTGAATGCATTTGAATCCACTTGAATCCAAGGGACTGGATTCTGCTGTTTCCCCCTTGTACGACATACATGCGCCTATATAGTAGGCGATCTCGATACAATGAAATATTTTATTCCAATGTATGTCCACCCGATGGTCATAAGCAAAACCATCTAAAGAATTAGTATAAGAGGCGGCAGTGCAAGAGTTATGCAATACTCATTCCCTCTAAATGCATGTTTATCCCTAATAAGCGATAATATAGAAAAATATTTTGATCATAATCAAAGTTTTTCTTCGAAAATTTCTCCATTAAACATTTTCTACAGAATATTGGATAACTAGACACTTTTTGAGTAGCACGAATCTTTTTCGACTAGAGTTTTCTTTGATGAAAATATTCAAAGAACTGTTCCTTCGACTAAATCTGATTTTGGAGGTACGGTTATGAGAAAACATTGATACAAAACTGTTCGACGATTAGATTTTAAATCTAGAAACCATTAAACTAAAAATATATTTTTCATATATGGGTATATCAAATTTTGATCAATGAATTATTTAAATTTACCATTCTAAAATATTTTGCCTTTATCAATGATAGATCAAATTCAAAATAGTTATTTGATAAAAGAAAAAATTGTTTTCTTTTCGAAAGTACGATATGTTTCCATATCTAAATTAGACATGTAACCAAATTCGTCAGACACGATCATTCTAGAATTCAAAAATTCATATTATGCCAGTAGTCGTGATCAATAATAAAGAATAGAAATACGTAATTAGTTGGTGAAAATTTTATCTTCGAAAAGTTTCATCTTCGCATTTGTATTATGGGTGTTTGATTGACTGAGAATATGATATAGCAGAATGAATTATTTTTTACATTTTCATTATATTCCAATATATATAATAGAATAAACTTTTTCAAATGAAACTGATTGACTATCATAATTTTAAGAAATCTTCTGCTCACATTGTTTTGATCTTATGAATATATTCTATATAAATAGTATTATACTATCAAATACTTCAGACATACACATTTTTTCAATTAATAGAACATTGCAGTTGTAAAGTGTTGTTAAAAATATATATGAAGATCCAAATGTAAATGATCATCATCTATTAATATAATAGAACTAATAAATTAGGGCTCTGTCGACTGCTAATGTTATAGGGCAATGCAGAGGTAAGTTATAAGATTGTTTTTACATGGCATGTTGATAGGCTAGTAAGGTCATAATCTGTTAAGCTGCAAAAAATAGTATTGTCAACGTACTTAGACAATTTCAGAAACTAAAGAAGAGATATTAAATTAGATCATATCATGAATAAATATTCACAATATTGACAATACCCTAGTCGAACAGCTTGTAAGCAAGATCTTGATAAGCTCTTGGAAAGATAATTTGTACGTACATATCTTGGTTATATCATATAAATCTGCACCTAAGATCTTGTCAAGATCATGGGAAAGATATCGTTTACTATTATCTTCTCACAAGATCTTGAGTAAAACAAAAAGCAACATCATTAGTGTGTTTACGTGCTGATTAGTCATTCACCGTCTTTTTATGCATACAGAGCCGTATATAAGCAATGTTGCTAGTCTGTGGATCAAGACTAACACTTCCTAGATACACTTTATTCTTTTTCTTTCACCATAACAACATATGTATATATATCTATCTATCTATATATACAAGACCAATAGAAGAAGGAAAAGGTAGTGGCTTATAGATAGCGCCACTACCTAACACTTCCACCCCTTAGTAGTGAACGGTGTCATCTGTTCACAACAACATAGTAACATAGAATGGAATAACAACAACAACAAAAAATAGCGAAATAACAAAAAAATACAAATCAAACTTTAACATAGAACAGAACAGTTAGAGGAAAGAAAATAAAATAAAAAAAGGAGGACAATAAATGCTGAACATTTTTTTCTGTTGTTTTTAGCAGTACTAGTTAATGGGTCTTAAGTCTTGTGCTGTAATTTGTGTTTCATGATTCTGATCAGTATTTTGAACAACATAAGTTTTATTATTGATCTTTTTAACAATAGTGTACGGGCCTATAAATTTTGAGGAAAATTTGTTCATATTTGGATTTCGATTTCGAATAACTACTCTTTGACCGATAGAATATTGGGGATCTGAGCGATTGCGATCATATCGTTGTTTTGCTTTAAATTGATGATAAAGATTGTTGTTTCGAGCTGCGAGTAATGTATGTTCGAGAAATATATTCATTTGTTTTCGGTAATTTTTAGCATTAGATTGTATTGAAGGTGGTGAAAGAAAATCGAATATGAAACGAGGAGAACGGGCAAGCATTAGTTCAAAAGGTGCATAGCCTGTAGAATCATGTCTAGTTGTATTATAATTATATGTTGTTGGTATTAGTTTTTCATCCCAATTGGATTTAGAGCGATTTGAAAGTGCAACTAAGTTAGGAACTAATGTTCCATTATGACGCTCACATTGACCATTAGCTTGAGGGTTGTAGGGCGTGGTTTTAATATGACAACAACCGACAAGTTTAATTAAAGATTCATATAGAGAGGATGTGAAGTGGCGACCATTATCTGTTATGATTTCTAATGGAACGCCATAAATCATGAATACATTATATAATAAGAATCGAGCTGCTGTCATTGATGTATTATTTGGAACGGCTTTGGTTACCACGAACTTAGAGAAAATATCAGTAAGCACAAGAAAATATTTATTACCAGACTTCGATTCGGGTACTGGACCAACATAATCCATTGCAAGACGTTCCCAAACTCCATGAGGTGGTTCAATGGATTGTAGGTGGCCGTCGGGTTTTCTACGAGAAGGTTTATTTTTCCGACAATTAATGCAAGATAAAATGTGATGTTCAATGTCTTTATACATGTTAGGCCAATAAAAACGATCACGTATTTTATAAAACGTTCGTTTAATACCAAAATGTGCACCACCAAATGTTGAATAATGATAAGCGGATAAAACCTTAGCAATTAAAGAAGCAGGAAGATAACGAAGATTGAGTTGCTGACCGGATTTCCGTTTAACAATTCTTAAAAGAACATTAGAATTGTCTATGATATAATTGGGATTTAATTTAGGATTATATTTTATTTTCTGTATTGCAGGATCTTCATTTTGACATTTAGCTAATGTATCATCGTCGAAAAATATTTGAACGTTCTTGATTGAGGATGTCGAGGACTCTGCAGGTGTTTTAGTTGAACATAAATTCAATGGTTGTCGTATTGAAGGATTAGCAAAAATTTGTTGTTCACGAGTCATCGAACGTGTTGTAACAACATTGATGAAAATGTTGTCGGTTTGAGTAGAGGAGGTACTAAAACGTGGTTCGTTATCATCAGTAATATCAGGTTGATCAACTGGATAACGAGATAGAGCATCGACAGTGGTGTTGTCTGTACCGGATATATGTCGAATAATTATATCATATTGTTGTAATGTTGTCATCCATCGTTCAATACGAGAATTATGGTATGGCTTGTGCATTAATGACAACAGTGGTTTGTGATCGGTTTCTATGATAAATTGTTGACCTTCAATATACGAACGAAACTTCTGAGTAACACTCCACCAAATAGCTAATGTTTCTAGTTCGATTGTAGAATAACGAGTTTCAGCTGGTTTCAATGTTCGTGAAGCAAAAGCAACTAGTTTATAAACAGGTGTTATATTATTATCATTAGAAACTTGCTCCTGTAACAACACTGCACCGATACCTACACGTGACGCATCTGTTCTAATAACATATGGTTTATCAGGATCAGGAAATATGAGTACATCAGGAGACGTTATTGCGGTCTTTAATTGATCAAATGATGATTGTTCTATATCCGTCCAAATAAATGGAAGACCTTTTCTGTTAAATTTATTAAGTGGTGAAGAAATTTGAGCAAAACGAGGGATGAATTTCCTATAAAACCCAACTACAGTAAAACCTCTCTAAACTGAACACTGTCGGGACCGACGGAAAACGTTCAGTATAACGGGGTGATCATATTAGAGGGGGGGGGGGGTAAGCAAAAATACATCTAAACATTGATTTCATTGCTTTTCACGTGCCCTACAGTCGTTTCATTACTTTACTATTATTTTAACATTAGATTAAGTTTAAACATCACATAAAGATTTTTTTTAAACAGGTTTAAAAAACTGATAAATAGTTGGTTGTTTGGAAACGTGTGCGTCAAGATATATATCGATAAGTCTTATCTTTCGCTTTAACTTTTTATTTCGATTACATTGATAATCATCGATATATTCATGTTTTCGTTTAAGAATATTTGATACAGCACCGATAGAAACGTGGAATTTGTCTTTTAATTCTCGATAAGACAAACCACGTTCACTCTCTCGTATTAAATTAACTTTTTGTTCCAATTCAAGATCATTCCGAGATGCCATATTTAGGTAACGATTGATGAAGATAAATAACAACTGTGTTTTTTTTCTTTGTTCTCTTCTCTCCTCTCCTCTTCTTCATTTTCATTGTACACAACTTTTGAACGAATGAAATTCACGATAATTACCATCACAGCGCTAGATACATGTTTTAGAAATGTGGCGCCCTCTACTGCTGGTCATATTAACGAGGTTGATACATACAGTCGGGACCATAAAAATGCGTTCACATTCAGAATGAAGGGGTGTTCATAAAGGAGGGGTTCAAAACCAGCAAAATGAGCTCGGGAAATCCTCAGGGTGTTCAGATAAGTAGGTTGTTCATAAAGGAGGGGTGTTCAGTGAGAGAGGTTTTACTGTATTTGTAAAAATGAATAAGCAGCTTTACCTGATGTAGGTATTGGAAATTTCACAATAGCACGAATATTATCGTCATTTGGTAGACAACCGGCTGTACTAATATGATGTCCCAGAAATGAAATATTATTTTGAAAAAATGAACATTTAGTATGATTTAATTTAAAATTTGAGTTATTGAGTGCATCACACACTTTATTGAGATCAATAAGATGTTGGGCAAAAGAAGAGGAATATACGACAATATCATCTAAATAAGCAAGACATGCATCCCACCGTAATGAGCCAAGTGTTTGATTCATCAATCTCTGAAAGACAGATGGTCCATTTTTAAAGCCTTGTGGTAAACGATTAAATTGCCATAGACCGTCATGGGTGATAAATGCAGTTTTTTACGTTCATCAGGTGCTAAAGGTACTTGAAAATAACCACTATGTAAATCAAGTTTCGAAAAAATATGTGAATCATTTAGACGTTCTATAACATCATCTATTCGTGGTAATGGATAGACATCTTTTTGAGTAATGGAGTTCAGTTGTCGATAATCGATATAAAATCTTGGTGATCCATCGTGTTTCTTCACAATAACGACCGAAGATGCCCATGGTGAAGCAGAAGGACTTATGATTTCATTATGTAACATTTTTTTAACTTCATCATTAATGATTTGTCGATTAATATGGGAGACTCGACGTGGATGTACAGCCAGAGGAGCATGAGAACCCGTGTTAATAGCGCGCTGAAGTGTACAAGTGATTCCTGTTGCAGATGAATCATCAAAAAGTTGTTGATATTGATGAAGCATTAAATAGGCTTTCATACGTTGAACTGAATCATCAATATGTTCAACGAATTTATTTATTGTTTTTGTTGTACATACTGAATTTTTATTACAACAAACAAGTAGATGTTCATAGAGATCTGTTTCAGTAACACATGCAACAGCACAATGAATACATGAAAATGATTTTAAGGGATGAGAAGAAAAATAACAAACAGTATTACATACTTCAGGAATAATATTAATATCAAGATCTTCAGATGATGGAAAAATAGATCCTAATGGAGTATGATGTGGTATAGTTTTTGGACGGTGAGTATTATTCTTGATTGAAATAATACCATGATAATCACGAATATGAAGAACCGAATGTGGAATCAGGATGAGTTTGGAACGTTGTAGAGCTAAATTCGGTGTGAAAACTACATTTAATAATGATTGAATAGGAACGTAGCCTGAAATAAATTTTTCATGAAACGGTGGAATAACAATTGAATGTTGTAATGACATAATTACTGGTTCAGCAGGAAATACAGGTAATAATGGAACGAACGTTCTGCCATCATAAATATAAATACGATAGGTAGAAAAATTAATATTAACATGGTGTTTTTGAATCCAATCTCGACCTTAGATCATTGGACAAACAAGATCACGAGTAACATAAGCATCGACTGTAGTGATAATATGATTAATTTTTACATTAAGATTCACTAATCCAAGAAGAGATATAAATCCACTGTTTGCAGTATGAATTTCTTTTAAAGAACATGACGTGATTGGATAATGTTGTATACATTGTAAAGTACGTTCATTTATAAGTGATATAGCAGCACCGGTATCAACTAAAACATTTGTAATATAATTGTTGACAGGAACGTTAATTGATGATGAATGTGATGATGATGGTTTTTTCTTAATCCACGAGGTACCACCATCTAGATACCTCGTCGAACGTTTTTTTGATTTGGATAATGTTTGGCAATATGACTAAAACCACAACATTCATAACATTGACTTGATGTGAAGGTTGATGATGGATTTGAACGATTATAACGATGAGTTGCATATGATGGTTGATTGTAAACAAATTGTGAATTCATAAGTTGTTGTGGTGTAGGAGTTATACGTTACTGTTGTTGAGAATTAAATGAGCGTGACTTTGTATAAGTAGGTCGTTTCACCAATGCGATCATTTCATCATCGAGATCCTTATCATTTGAATCATCATCATCATCGTGTGAACGAATTGTATTTTGTGTTAAACCTTGTAACATCTGTTGAATCTTTTCTTCATCCTGAGCGATAACAAGAAATTCAGCAGGTGTTGAAGGATGTCGACGAACAACATAAGAAATTAATGAAGAATTTAAACCTTTTGTCAAATAATGAATTTAAACCTTTTGTCAAATAATGAATTATCATAGTTGAACTCATATTTGGATCAGCTTGTAAACATAATTGTAATTTATCATAATAATATTCCATAACTAATTCATTAGATAATTGTTGTCGTTGTTCCATTTTCAATAATGTTTGATCAAGTGATGGTCGATAAACTTTAAGAATTTCTATTTTAAATGTGGACCAATCACAAATATTTAATTTGTTGTGTCGAAACCATTTAGCAGCTGATTCGACTAAGTATGATTGTACGGCAAGGTATTTATTTGAGGGTTGTAATTGAGCTCTATCAAATACTTCTTCAACTTCTTGTAACCATTTAATAACATCTTCTTCTGGACCACCACCAAATTTAGCAAGATTCTTAATTTGCTCTTTTGCTAATGTTGACATAAATTGTTCTTCCATAATGGATAAAAATTTTGGATGATGAACGATATGATGAATAGGAGATTCCTTATTAACAGAGATGTTAATGTCAATTGTAGCTAATCGGTGAACTTCTTCTTGAAATAAATGACGATAATGTCAACGCGTTATCATATAAAAGCAAAGCAACAAACTATTAGTGAAAGATGAAATACATTAAATTGCACCATAAAGAGAGACTTCAACAATCATATATCATAAACATCGTCATTAACATAATCATATAAGAATCTTATAAAGACACAATCAAATGATATTTTAATGAGAATAAGAAACTACAATCGTAGAAATTCCTTAAGGATATATATATAGTTTTTTTTGTGTGTGTGTGTATGTGATTTATATATTATATATCTATATATATATATTTTTCTTTTTTTTTCTTAAGATGGGTCACGGCACCAATTGTTAGTCTGTGGATCAAGACTAACACTTCCTAGATACACTTTATTCTTTTTCTTTCACCATAACAACATATATATATATATATCTATATATACAAGACCAATAGAAGAAGCAAAAGGTAGTGGCTTATAGATAGCGCCACTACCTAACAAACGTGATTGAACATACGAAACTGTTTTTGTGAGCTCAAAAAGTGAGTATACTATAGAATCCGTCAGTGTATCCGGCCGTTTACACGATAACTCTTCAAAAGGTAGTCCGATTGTGATGAAATTGTGCACACATAATTGCCTCATCAATATCTCGGTCGAGTTCGAAGATGAAAATGATTCGTCAAAAAATCGCTGAGTTACCGCAGCAATCTCATTATTTCCTATGCTTTTCTATGCGAACATTGACCTATCCCGGTTTTCGTAAAAAACTTTTTTCTCTCATAATCAAACAAAAGCTCAGCTATTATATACCATTCGATAGGGAATTTCACGGGCTACAAAATGGTATATAAAACATTAAGAAACAAGAAGGCTAAGTCACCTATTGCAAAGATACTTAAATGGAAATTGCTTCTGTGTTTTTACTTTTTGAAGTAGACATAACACTCGAATTTAAATCCAAGATTTCCACATTTATTTGCCTCTAAAACCAATAAAAAAAGGGTATAAAGTTTGCTGTTTATGTGATCCAATCACTGGTTACTTATTCAACTATCAAATCTATTTAGGAAAAGAAGAAACCAATGAAAGAGAAATATCTTTGGGCGAACGTGTTGTTTTCGATCTTATCTCTGGTCATAATTTTGAAGAAAAACATCTATATATGGATAACTTTTTCACTTCTCTCGGATTATTAGGAAAGCTAAAATTACAGAACATAAAGATCAGTAGAACGACTAGACCAGATCGGACAGATATTCCATCAAATTTTGCCAAGAAAGCTAAAATAGAACAAGGGAATTACAAGTCAATGATTATATTGAACAGAATTGTCTTCATATAGATGGATACCAAACATGTATTTGTGGCTTCAAATTATCATAAAGACAACAAAGTTGTTCCGATTTCTCGCCGGTTGAAAAATGGTCAACGTATTACAATTAACTGTTCGACAGCAATAAAAGATTACAATCAGTTTGTACATGGAGTTGATCGACTCAACCAAAGAATATCCTGCTACAAGCCTGATCACAAGTCTAAAAGAAACGTGCTTCGAATTTTTATTTATTTTCTAAATGTATCTATTTCCAACTCATTTATTTTCTATAATCAGTTAGCTCAGGATAAACTAACATACTTAAACTACATGGTTTCAGTGGCGAAGTCTCTCTGCTCCAGCAGTGAACGAATAAGTCGTGGAAGACCTCCTTCTGAAAAGAAGTCTAAACTAGCATCACCAAAAACTCTTCTTGATTTTGACAATGAAATGCATTTGCCTGTGAAAGGAAAAAGAAGAAGATATGCTCATTGTAGCACCAAGGAAGCAGATTTTCGATCCAACATCGAGCGCTTTACTTGAAAATTGCCAGTTTGTTTAAAAGATGAAAAAAATTGTGTTTTTGATTATCATGAGATTTTTTATGTAGCCATTTTGAGTTAAAATAAAACAAAAAGGTTGAAAAATGTTTTTTTGATTAAAAAAAAATTCCGTCTTCAAAAGGTTAATAGAGTTTTCAAAAAGAGTTACAGGTATAGATTTGAGAATAACTTTTCAAGTACTTCCAAATAAAATAACTCATTTCAAAAAGAAATTTTCATATGCAATGTTGATCAGTAGTCAGAGGGCTCTCTCTTAAATTGTTAAAATATTCAGGGAACTTTGATGCAGTCAAAAACAATAAATTAGATTTGTCCAACAACATTTTTTTTCAGGTATTTTGACATTTTCTACTTTGAAGTGTTCCTCCTAAACATTTACTTTAAAGGTTTGGACCTCATATAAAAAAATGCACATTTTGTGCAGCATATTGTATGATATTTTTAAATTTCCACAGATTCATTTGGAAAGATGCACTATAAATTTTTCAGTTTTGGTTTTCACACTTGTAGGACCAAGTACTCTCTAAGAAAAAGGTGCGATATTACACCTTTTAAGGATTTGGTGAAGATATTGAACTTTTTAAGGTTCTGGATTTGTGTACAATTTTCTAAACCTTTTGTGGGATTCTGGCTAATAAGTACAAAACTTCAAAAAGGTGCTGACTCTTCGACTAAACCTTTTCCAGTTCTGGAGAGCATGTGCCGATCGGAAAAAGGTTCTAAAAACTGTACCGAAAAAGATTCAGTATGACACCTTTTTTAGAGAGTAGATGTTAATGCCGTTAACTTCTTTCAAGCTAAAAACTTATTCGACAAACTCAGTCGATGGTTTGTACAAAAGTAAGCTGTCTATTCTTTGGCAAAAAAATTAAAATTTAAGATAACTGGTAAATGCCTCGAAGATAGAAAATAACATGAAATCCGTTCTTTTGTCCTTCCTAGCAATATTTTATATTTTTCAAAAAGAATCTGTCATAGAGTTTTGTAGTGAGAGACATTTTTCGTGAAAACTTTGCCACACGGAAAAAATTTATTTTAGCTGTAAATTCTTCACCTCTGCATAGGATACTGAAAATAACACTAAAGACGTTTCAAGCAGCGTGAAAAGAGCCTGTAGATACATGTCTTTTACTTTCTGACTTACTGTTTTCTGCTAGTGTCACATGAGATCAATGTGAGAGAAGAGACAGGAAGAAAATGAAAGAACACAAGGCTACTACAAACTACTTCAAGAGTTATTCAAAGTTAAGGGTATGCAATCACACATCGATGGGTAATGGTTCGCCTCTTGGCTGATTTTGAGCGCTTGTTTGAATACCCCAAAATCTTTCAATGTCTTCAATTGTCTTATTCTTTGTTTCAGGCATCTTTTTGAACAAAAATGCTCCATTAAGTAGCATGAAGATGAGAAAGACGAGGAAGACATAGCCACCAAGGATCGAATGTAGTGCAGGAAAGAAAAGCGAGAGTAGAATATTGCATAAATAGTTGCAAATCAAACCCAATGATTGAACACCGTCACGTGCTTCAGGTCGACACACTTCACTACCGTACAAAAATGGGATTGGACCGAGACCAACCGCAAAGCAGACAATAAAAATAAGTATCAGTAAGACAGAAATCAGACCCAGTATAGAATTATTCAGTCGCTCGTTGAGTTCGACAATCATAGTAAGCAAACCGAAAACAATAGCCATAATGACCATTGGATAGACAATCACTGCTCGACGGCCAGCTTTCTCAATCAACGATAGAGAAGCAATACTGGCAAGTACATTAATGAGACCGGTCCCAAGGTTAGCATAAGGAATAAGATGATTAGGAATGCGTGCTTTCTCGAACATCTTCGAAGAGTAGAAGAAAACGGCATTGATACCAGACATTGCTTGTGAAAGTTGAAGGATGATTGTAGTCAGCATCGGCCAACGATACCGAGGTGTTTTCAATATCTATCGATAAGAGGTATTATAATTATGATGACTTCTTACTTTGGCTGATTTACTATTTACCTGAAGGATCGAAAGTGATTCCGATCCGCCGGAACCACTTTGCTCTCTTATCTGCTGTCGAATCATCTCAAGATCAGCGTGGATATCACTTGTTCCACGTAAATGTTTTAGATCGTTTTCAGCTTGTTCTTCATTATTATACTTGGCAATCAATTGTGTAGGCGAGTTTGGTAATAAAATAAGAAGAAAGAGACCGAAAAATGGTAGCAAAAACACAATAGACAATCCCCATCCCCATCCGTGACATGTTCCAGCAATGAACGGCATGCCAATAAATTGTGCAACAAGAATTCCAACGGTCAGGACGAGTTGAAAAGCAGCGCCAGCTGCACCACGTACTCGTTGTGAGGCAATTTCACTGATGAATTGTGGAACCACTGCACATGCCATTCCACCTGTTAAAAGCACGAGAGAAACAAGCTTTAGTTTACAAAAATCCACTCAAATAGAATAATTCAATGCAATACCACAAATCTTTCTGCATAATCCCTGCCAAATTAATATTTGAAACTCAATAAATTCAGTCTACTTGTAAATGAGAATATCATTAAGATGATCATTGTCTGTAAAGAATAGATAGGGGAACCTTATTAAATGCTTCCTACCGTGTCATATTGCGAATATTAGCCTTTTTTGTCTTTCATAATCTTTTGGTGATGAAAAGGTTGATTTCAAGGGTGTGGGTATAAGCGTAGGGATGCAACGGTGACGGTGGTCACCGTTGTCACCGGCCACCAGTCCACCGCTCATCGGTCCAGTGGCAGGGATAAATTCTCGTATTTCTTAAACATCATCACCTACACTGTAAAGAAAAGCGTAGATTAATATACCCTTAAAGGGCTTTTGAAAATTTTCATGAACGGAAAAAGGGTTTATTATGCGTTGCACTTTCATAAACCCTTTAAGGGTATATTAATCTACGTTTTTTTTAGAGTGTACTCCCTCCCCCACAGCGATGCCTTGACGACTATCGCACTGAGTGTATGCACACAAGAGATAAAATGAATATTTTGGTACAACTGAGATTTCCTAGAGTAAGGGTACCTCAATATGAAGGATACCTTTCAAGATAACTTGAAAATACGGTCTTAAACAATCCGTTAAGATCTCGCATTGAGGCTCGCGACAACCTATTATGCGCATGAAGCGGTCATCACGGTAGGTTTTCATGGCTCTGCCCGTTCTATAGCGGCCTTCATAATCACACTAATCTGTGAAAAAAAACCATTTCCATCTACTGTACTACCGTGCAGTCAGTGTCATAGTTTTGAGTACCACCCCAAGGACTAATAATGCCGGTTATGCAAGGTGGGAAAAGCGGATCCCGGGATTCCTACTGGACCCTCTGGATATTCACCGGATCCTCTGGATCCCCACCGAATTCTCTGGATTCCCAGCAGATCCCCTGGATTCTCACCGGATCCCGGATACGTGTTACATGAAAATAGGAAGAATACGACAGTGATACAGAAAATTCACGATACACTTTTTCTCTATGGTAAAAAGTGGTGGTATGAAAAATACTGAGCAGGACAATCAGAAATTCAATTTTGTGTTCTAGGAGCCAGTCTACATGTGCCACAACTGAATTTGTTTTCAATCAAAGTTGTTGCACCTCTCTGATTTTGAAAAGTGTTGTAGAAATGAAAGTTTTAAGAGTTTTGGTGCAATTTTTTTGAAAAAATATTGTTCTGTACCCAAAGTATTTAACCCCTTCGGACGGGTCACGTATATATACGTGATGACTCTGTATGCACTCATAATTCACTTATGTTTATCTCTTATGATATTCTTCTGACCAAGTAAAGAAAAGATATACCAGGGGCTAGAAGCAATGTCGGCCCATGATCGCCATTCTCAAAAAGACCAGATAAATATTATAAAAGAATATGATAAGTGAATTACAAGTTCATGCAGAGCCATCACATATATATACATGACCCGTCCCGAAGGGGTTAAATATTTCTAACAACACTATACGCAAACACCGCATATTTTGTGGTGTTCTATCGTAGACATACCCCAACGAAAATACATCCGACTGACTCAAGATGCTGAACGTTTACATCTCTGATCTTGATGTAATAATCGTTAACAGTGATTTGGAATTAGCGAACGATGAATGAGTTCATCAGTATGATGAGGTACACGGCAAAATGATCATTTTTTGCAATTATGTGAATAAACATATTTCAACAACAAAACCTGTTAGAAAGTTGATATTTTTACTGCAGCGGAGTTTCATTGAGCAGTTGCTGTGAAAAAATATTCAGCTCTCTGAATAGTTCATATTGTTCAGTGGACTTTCCACAGAATTATGATTTTTACTGAAATCACGATTTTGGCAGGGATCGATATCATCAAATACCTGATCGATGCAAGCCGCGTTAGTGTAATTTGAAGTGCACACTGAACATTACCAACTTATGCCAAACTTAGCGTGGGATCTCCTAGAATCGATTTGGGAGACTTATTGGAAGATATTGAAAAATGACCTATCTACCATGGAACAATATACTCGAATTCATTTCGAAATTGATAGAAAAAATTCGTCAAGTGAAGTAAAATCTACTCAGTTTAAATCAGCATATAACTATCTATGAATACTCACAAAAAATTTTTTGAAAGCAACAAAACAGGACTGTTTTTTGTAAAGTATCCGTAGGAGAGTATGGAGATTTAAAAAGAAACTTCACCAAAAGTCCTAATGAGGGTATGAAGATTTTTCAAAAACAACTGCCATTTTCAAAGGACTTTTCTATGGAATTCGATAGAAATTCATATCATTATTTATGGTGGGTCAAGTATATTTCTTATGGTGAAAATTTTCTATCCATTTCTAACTGAACTCTACTATATTTTGTATAAAAATTGGGTTAATTTTGAGAGTCTTTCACTAAGGTTTCACGAGTGATTGCAGAGAATCCTAAGTCAATTTTTATGTAGCTTTGTTGCAACAAGAGTGTGCTTCAAACGATATCGACCGGAGTTTTATTGATCAGACATTATCGGAGGTCGTAACCTTTCAAAAGCGTTTTTTTTCATCCAAATCATGATTGAACAGATAGTTTCCTAACTATTGTTCATTTCACAGTTAAATGGCCGTGGGCATTTTTTGAATAACTTTTGATAGAAAGGAGATAGAGATCTGCGATTTTCAAAGTTGGAAAGAACAGGTGAAGACGCATCGAATTATATAAAGAAAGGTTTTTTAACTACTTTTCTATAGGCTTCACATAAACTTCAAGAAAAACAGCATGCTTCTCATGATCACGATATTAATTTATTGATTTTCAGGAGTGTGCTAGAATCACCAGGGGAAGGGCTACAAGACTACAGTACTGGCCAAAAGTATCCCCGCACTGAGATTCTCACTTCTATAAAGGCTGTTGATCTGAATACTTGTATGTACATAGTTCTTGATCAATCTAGATCAGCGGCATAACTCACACCCCAATTGCATGAAGTAAAAGAAAGTTATAGTGCAAGTCATCTGTCACCCTTGTAGACTTTGTAACTTAGGAACGACAAGACTTAAGGAGCTGCTGGACCCATCATTCTGTAGCTCTAGATTGTAGCTATCTATAATAAAATTTTCATCGAAATAAATCGCGGCATTATGGAGTTAGAGCCATTCTATTGTAAGTATCTATATGAAGAAAAACCATCCAATCCCATTGTGTACTTTATAATTCAATGAAAGTTTGACAGTTCGAATTAAAACTTATAGGAAATGTTCCCCCATAGGTCTCCATTCTCTCCTAAAATTTTCAGACATATATTGCTTACTAAAGAGAAATGTCACTATGATGAATATGACGCTATTGTCATAGTTCCAGGTACTCGAATCTTCAAGCAATTAATCTCATCTTTTGAATACATTACTAATATATATAGAAGCACATTTCTACCAAAAAAAAGTTATAAAATTCATTAGATATCATGGGAAACGAAACATAAACTTTAATGTTCAACTTTTCACTCACAATGATAATTTGATCGATATTATCTAGAGACAATCCTTATGACAAAATCCGACAACTCCAGGATCACTATCGTTACTCTCCAGTTTACATAATATCACACTTTCAACAATTCGTGAAAAAAACTTTTTCTCTTGGCTGCCCTTCTTGACTGAAAGAGTGTTAGTCAGCTTCGTTCAGAATTTTAGGATAAAAGTTATTCGAATTTATTATTTCTCGAAAAACAAAAAGAATAGGAAAAGGCACGTGACTAATATGTCTCTATAATAGTAGTAATGAATGTTAATCGATATTATTTGGCTCTGAATTTCTCTGTGTCTATTTCATATATAATTTTCTTTTCTTCAAAACGACATATCGTTCATCATGCCAACATACCACTTACCATTACATCAAAGATATGAAATTATTTTTTTATCAAAACATAAAAAAGGTCCGAGACTTACTAACAGAAAAGTTGCTAGACTCATCCATTGTGATGAAAAAACAGTACGATATTGGAGAGCTCGTTGGAAGGAATCAAAAGATTTATCTGACGAATCAAAATCAGGTCGACCTCGTTTAACAACATCGTCAGAAGATAAAATGATTTTAAATGAAATAGAAGAAAATGAAGATGCAAACAGCGTATCAATTGCTCCTGGTTTAAAGCGAAAAAAAATGGAAATTAGCTCTCGAACAGTTCAACGACGATAAAAAAGCTGTTAGCGCAATCCCTTGCGGGATTAAAAATGTGAAACACGATGGCTCTATTATTACTAATTAAATGGAAATCCTTTTCTTCCATTACGTTGCGATATATTTGTAGCTAACCGTTAATCTGATGCTTTACAACTACAGTTTCTCTGTCACGGTCTGTGATGGGTACCTGGCTTCTCTGTCACGGTTTATGATGGGGGAATTACCTGTCTGTAACGGTCTGTGATGGAGGAATTACCTGTCTGTAAGGCCTGTGATGGGGGAATCACCTGTCTGTAACGGTCTGTGGCGGGGAAATTACCTGTCTGTAACGGTCTGTGATGGGGAATTACCTGTCTGTAACGGTCTGTGACGGAGAAATTACCTGTCTGTAACGGTCTGTGACGGGGGAATTACCTGTCTGTAACGGTCTGTGACGGGGGAATTACCTGTCTGTAACGGTCTGTGACGGAGAAATTACCTGTCTGTAA